AACTAAGAATAAATATTGTTGTTTTTAAACTTGTGTTCCAAAACTATGAGGCTCCGGCCAAATGATGTATGTATCTCATTATATTGGTTCTTAATCATTTGGTTCACGGAGTCCCAATCTCTATGCAAACCGCCCTTAGTATTTCTAAACCAATTCCTTAATGTAGCATGAGCAGACTCAACTTGGTTAGTTGTTGTATTTCCAAGGTGTCTAACCTGATCGGTCCAAGCACAATTAATTTTCTCCTTCACCTGGTCAAGAATTGTGCTTTCAACATATTTTAACAAATCAGGATACTTCTTGCATACTTTCCTGAAATGCATGAAAAAATTGGCATATAATGCTTTAGTGGAAGAATTTACTATACCTTTCCATGCATCCATTATTTTCTCCACAACGTCACCCACCTTCACCATTTTTCTATCTTCAGACTTTATTTGTTTCGTCCCTACCGCGTGGTTAGCTCGACTTCTCACATTCTTTGTTATGTGATACCTACAAAGTAATGCATAAGAAGTAGGAAATACTTTTGCAACCGAGTTCATCAAGGCGGTATTGAGGTCGGTAATAATCACTTGAGCCATATCCCTGTGGTCCTTCAACATTGCCTGACACGCCTTTAATGCCCAAGTAACATTCTCCTCTTTTTCGCTCTCTAGAAATGCAAACCCCAAAGAATAGGTCTTCTTAGTAGAGGTAACACCAACCATCTCAATAATGGAAGTTTGTACTTGTTGGTCTTGTACGTTGAATCAATTATGAGCACAATAGGAAACGTGTTTAACAACATGATGGAATCAAGATGAGTCGAAAATATATCTTTTACGGTAACTCCATCCTCGCACGTTCGGTACCTAGACATGCAATTATTATCATCCAATAGTTTCAAGAGTTGTTGCATTTCAGATCTATCCCCCTTCAGCGTCTTGTTGGTTTGATACTAAATATTGTACACTTGCTTGATATTTGAGATATTTTTGGGTCTTTTATGTTTCAAAGTTGCAAGTATATATTTCAGTTGAACCAAATTCATTGTCATGTCAGGAATACGTTCCTTCTCTTCCGGCAAGAGGCAACACACAATTGGATGACCGACTAACTTTTTACACAAATCATGGTTATGTAAACCACATATGACATTAAATATCCATTTATTGTTTGGCAACATATAATCACGTAACTTAAACGAGCACTCACATTTTCTTGAACCAATGTCATCTCGTTTAAAATTTTGGAGAGAAGTATATATTTTCCGCTTCTTTCACACGTCATTATCACAAAAGCACATCTTTTATAAAAACCCCACAAAATAGGTCTTTTTAGTAGAGGTAACACCAACCATCTCAATAATGGAAGTTTGTACTTGTTGGTCTTGTACGCTGAATCAATTATGAGCACAATAGAAAACATGTTTAACAACATGATGGAATCAGGTTGAGTCGAAAATATATCTCTGACGGTAACTCCATCCTCGCACGTTCGGTACCTAGACACACAACTGTTATCATCCAACAGTTTCAAGAGTTGTTGCATTTCAGGTCTATCCCCCTTCAGCACCTTGTTGATTTGGTACTGAATATTGTACACTTGATATTTGAGATATTTTCGGGTCTTTTATGTTTCAAAGTTGCAAGTATATATTTCAGTTGAACCAAATTCGTTGTCATGTCAGAAACACATTCCTTCTCTTCCAGCAAGAGGCGACACACAATTCGATGGCCGACTAACTTTTCACACAAATCATGGTTATGTAAATCACATATGACATTAAATATCCATTTATTGTTTGCCAACATATAACCACGCAACTTAAACGAGCACTCACATTTTCTTGAACCAATGTCATCTCGTTTAAAATTCAGGAGAGAAGTATATATTTTCCACTTCTTTCACACGTCATTATCACAAAAACACATCTTTTATCCGAACCATTACCAGACCTTTCGATTACCACACCAAATCCCAGTTTGGTGCCCTTCGTACGAATCTATTGAATCATGTGATCACGAAAATTTGCTCATTTTTAAATTGGTTGCGAACATCTACCGCCTTCATAATAACACCTTTTGCATCGGGAGACACAACATGTTTGAGGAAAACATCGGGGTGCACCATATCTAATGAAAACAATTACAACAAAACACTCAATAAGTGCAAATTCTGTAAACAAAGCTGGAAAAAATAAACACGGACAAATATCAGAGATGTATTTACAAATGAGTTCATACTCATTCCGAAAATGTATCTCCGGAATAAACACACATTTTTCAGACTGAAAACAAAATTAATGTGAGCAATGAGGCTTGAAATAAATGATCTTTACCTAAAATTGCAACTTTTTTTTACTCCATTTGATGTGATGAAACTTTGAATTGAAGATTTGAAGTGAAAATATGAATCGAGAATGGAAGGGTTTTTAAGTATGGTTGTGTGATCATGCAACCCTATGTTTTATCAACTTATTTTGGATATGCATCTTCAGAATTATCTTGCATGCAAAGGTGACAAATAATATTAAAATTCCACTTCAAACTTTCGAAAATATAACTCTGAATGTCCACCGAACTGATCATATATCAATATATTTGTTAAAAACATTCAGAAATACATCTCCAAAATTTGTTTTAGTATTCATCTAAAATGACACTCATTTAATACGCCATAAGATTGGTGCATCGCCCGAAAATAAATCTCCAAAATTTAAAAAGTAATTTCCATATAATATTTTTCCACCCTATAGGGTTCCATAAGAAATACCATTTTTTTTAATATGGATGCATGTTTAATCATAAAACAAGTTATTTTACACTCATGTACGAGGCAATTGTCATAGTGACCAAATACAATAATTTCGTTGTTTTAACTTTTAAGGATATAAACTGGAAAACTTGTGAAAAAAAAAGCTGAAAAAAAAATGTCAATAACTATCTGGAACCGATTTTGAAAGAGAAATTGTACAGGGACCATAACTTTTCACACAATTGTACATTGGATCATAATTTATGGATGAAATTCACATCACATGCACATCTTCCATCTTTAGAATGTAGATCATGCTAAGACTTTTGCTTCTTAGATTTCTTTTTTCATGGTTGTCCTGATGACCCTCTCAGCATTTATTTTTTCTTCAGATTTGCGCTTCCCAAACTTCTTTGCTTTTTCCTGGAGGAACCATTTTGGATTCAAGTGAGATAACTATGCGATGAAAAAAATTCTTAGAGTTGTATATGTATAAGAATGTTACGAGTTTTGTGGTTGATGTTGGTTTGTTGCACAAACTGGAAATGATCTATGATTTGAATATGTATAAGGATGTTATGAGTTTTGTGGTTGATGTTGATTTGTTGCACAAAGTGGAAATGATCTATGATTTGAATTAGGGGCAGATCCACGTTGGACTCACCCTCAAATTTTGAATATCACTATATTTTCAAGCAAAAATTGCAGAACCGTCCGAACTCCTAGCCATTAGTCGTTTAGAGTGTGTTTGGTATACTAGAAGTAGAAAATAGAGAAATAGGTGAGAGAGAGAAATTGAAAAGATTGATAACTTGGGAAAAAGATAAATAGGAAGAGAAATTTAAAAGTGGACTCCACACTTTTATATATTATATATAATTTTTCAATTATGAAGAGAGAGTGAGAGAAACAAATTAAGATAGGAAAGTGACTATTTTGCCTATTAAATTATAAATATGTATTTTTTTAAGATGTTACTTTTCATAAGGGCATTATAATACTTTAAAAATATGCAACACTTCTCTCATATTTATATTTTCTCTTTTTTTTTTAGACTAAATAATACATCAAATCTATTTTATTTTTCATATTTTTCTCTCTTCTCGTACTCTCTCTTATATATTTCTCTCTTTCACAATTTCTCTATGGAATCAAACATACCTTTAATGGACTAAAACATCCTTCATTAGGCTAAATAAAATTATGTGTAATTCTTTTGTAAATTAAATATATCAAACGTATTACACTATTATTTTGATTAATATGAGTAATATTAAAACATGTAATTTATGTAATATAAAAATTTATGATATATTTTTTAGTAGGTGTAAATTATATTGATAAATTTATTATATATTTATATATATATATATATATATATATATATATATATATATATATATATATATATATATATATATATATATATATATATATATATATATATATATATATATATATATATATATATATATATATATATATATATATATATATATATATATATATATATATATATATATATATATATATATATATATATATATATATATATATATATATATATATATATATATATATATATATATATATATATATATATATATATATATATATATATATATATATATATATATATATATATATATATATATATATAACAAAAATAAATTTATCAAAAACTACAAACCGGTAGTAAAATGATAATAAAACTAAGTATAAGTATTAAATTTAAGAATATAAAAACTAAAGTTATAACTCAGCAATTCAAGATGCACTATATAACAAATGTTATAAATAGAATTTAGAATGATATGAGATTCACGATGTCTAAACACATAGTATTAAATACAATAAATTGAATGATAATAGAAAATATAATTCAAAGGAACATTGGAACTGAAATAATTCATCTCTTAGAATAATTTAAAACGGAAAGGAACAAAAGAATATTCATATGAGAAGCTTAGACCGTTAGTTGTTGACTTGGTGGAACAATTTAATTTAAAAGAAATTCAATCAAAGCCACCTTACCAAACATTTTTTACATTCCAAGTTGAAATGTATTTATAACCTTTCCTTTTCACCATTATAAATAAATTTAGAACCATTCTCTTGTTCCTCCATCAAAAATCTCAACTGCACTTGCATTTCTTAAAAATCTACCCAGAATTTCCCCAATTCCTTCTCATCTATTAATTGATTAATTAATTAATTTATTTACTAGTTAATTAATTAATTAATTAATTAATAGAGAATCCATGGGCGACGCTGCTGTTACAACCACGTCGTCTTCTTCTTACTCAGGCTTTGGCAATTACCCTCTTTTTTGCGCTATCGTTGCTTTCACCATCGCTCAATCCATCAAATTCTTCACCGTTTGGTGAGTCTTCATTCCGATCGATCCCAATTCAATTCACCGTTTAGAGTGCTATTGATGAATGTTTTGTGTATTTTGTGATTTTTTTTTAGGTATAAGGAAAAGGTATGGGATCCGAAACAATTGATTGGATCTGGTGGAATGCCGTCTTCTCATTCAGCTACTGTTACTGCTCTTGCCACCGCGGTTGGATTTCGGGAAGGATTCGGAGGACCACTTTTCGCTACTGCATTGGTTCTAGCTATCATTGTATGATTTCTTTTGCAATTTCTAAACATTTTGATCTATTCTTTTGATTTGTATGTGTTTCATTTAATACACATGTAGTTGTTTGTTAATGATTGATTTATAAGTTATAAGTTTGGGATAGTTTCTGATATCGGATATTGTTGTTGGCAGGTGATGTATGATGCTACTGGTGTAAGATTGCAAGCAGGACGCCAGGCGGAGGTTTGATTGCGGTTCATGGGATCTCTATTTGTTTTGATTGATTTCAAATTGTCTTTACCAAATTTGAATGACTGGGTTTTTTCAGGTTCTTAATCAAATTGTGGTTGAACTTCCTGCTGAACATCCTCTGTCTGACAGCAGACCTCTTCGCGAACTTCTTGGGCATACCCCGCCTCAGGTTCAATATTTTGCATTTGATTGCTTTCTAATTTCTATGATTATATAATGGATCCGAGTTTGGAATAAAGATTTTAGTAGATATTTGGTTGTTTCCACACCTTGTAGAATTCTTCGGCAAGCTAAAGTAAGCATAGGGATTTTGATGTTTGTTTACACTAAATATATTCAATGAGCATTGCTTCTGCTTGCGTATAGTAGGTGACAATTGTGTTATACAAAACTGTCTTTTATGAACATTCAAACCTGTGATAGTATGTTTTACTTTCTTTGAAACATTGAGCTGGTTTTTTCCTAGGGTTATATATATTGTCTTAGTGCTATTGGGGATCGAGATACCATACTACTCATAGTATCTGATTTTACTTAGTGTTAAGTGAATGTTGGATCTGTCAATACATAAATATCAAGTCATTAACTAGGTTATAGCATTTTCACTGCTATACTTTTTGGACATATTGCGGCACATTTTCTACTATTTATCTCTCTGCAATTTAATCTTGAGCAATTACAAAACTTTAAAAGATAACGATGCTAACTTTAGTTGTCTTTTTCATAATCTCTTTGGAGAAGAAAAAAAGGTTCCTTTTTTAATTGAGTTCCATCTTTGTTGTACTTCGTAATCGCCAAAAAAAATTAAGTGATGATTTCCTTTGTTAATATTCTATATTCATATTGCAGGTTGTTGCCGGTGGTTTACTTGGAATCGTAACAGCAGCTATTGGTTTTTTAGTAACCCATGTTTGAAAGTTAAAATTTGAGGATTCCTTTGGGCTCGTTGTATAGAAAACCCAAAACACCAAGTCTTTAGTGTTGAGCTTTTTCAATTGGAAAAGTCTAAATCTGTGCACATTCCTTTTGATCTCAGCCTGCAATCACTTGACCTTCGTATCAACATCAGCGATCGAAAAGTGAACTGTATTAACTACACTACTTGATGTAATGGAAGCGTCTGTCTTATGGAATCATTAGTTTGCAAGAGTACGTGTCTGTTACAAATTTTGATCTCGATAATGTTTGAAAGAGATTATTTATGATATTACATGTAGTCTGTTACCCTGGATATATGTAGGTCTTTTGATAATGGAAACTCTTATCATTTCATCTTTATTAGTTATTCTTTTTATTAGTTGGGAATGTTACATTCAACATAATTGTCATTAAATATTATCAATTCATTGATGTAATAATTTAGTTGTCTGTTAAAAACGACCTTTACGATGACCTCTAGAATGGAGCACTGGACATCTTTCAAAACTATACAGTATTGCTTGTAAACATGACTTCACGTATAAAAGGAAAATATAGGTAGATGAAATCGTTTGTGTTTCAAATTGACCACTTCTTGCTTTTGGAAATTGGAGTTAAAACTGAAATTTACACACTGCCTAATAAACACCAGACGGTAATGGATCCAATCCAACCACATCATAACAGAAAATATGAAATGGTTTTCGACTACATAAGAATGATGTAGTCCCTGAGAGATTGTTTCATTATTGCTAGAACCCATGACAATAAAAAAATTTAATATACCTATAACAATAGTACTGGCTAAAGAATCAATACTAGGAGCATTAATACAACCCAATACCAATAGTATTGGCTGAAGAATCAATACTAGGAGCATTAATACAACCCAATAACAATAGTATTGGCTAAAGAATCAATACTAGGAGCATGAATACAACCCAATATATTTTTACTTCAATCGTGTATAGTTAAGTAACACATAAGATACCTTAGATTTTAAACATTTTGTTAGTGGATTACAAGTATAACTAATTCTATATTCGTAAGGAACAAGAGCTTAAATAATACTATATTTTTTTATGGAACTGAGACTATCAAATAGATGTGCTACAATGAAAATAAAAATTATAAAACGGTTGCATAGTGTTTGAAACACTGACAAAACTCTTGATGAAGATGCTCTGATTAGTATTTGTTTATTTTATTAGTGTGCTCCAAGTATAGCAGAAAAAACCCTCTGCATTTCCACCCTAGGATCTTCGGTAAGTCCTGAAATTGTACGCCAGGCAATATGTTCATCGGGTCTAACCAAAATAGCCCCTCTGTTCGTCATGTTGCACATCTCCCACCAATTTGAATTTGTTGAACTAACTTCAACAACGTCTGCATAGTTCTTCCAGGGTGATAATGCTTCTTTACTTCCTTTATCAAGTCTTTCAGCAGAATCAGTACACCAAAAAACACACACTTTGAGAGAAATTTGTTGTTCCTCAGCCACCTTGAATGCTTGACGAGCTAAATGATAAGATTCCTTCACAGGTGCTATGATGAGAACAAACTCAACTCTATCTCCTGACACAAGATCATGCGTAGAAACCGTCTCCTACAAAATATTACTTACACTATATCAACAAAAAATGATGATTAAAACCAATGAAAACCAGCTAGCTAATCATTTAGCCAAAGTCTATAGATCAACAGTGCTACAAACCTCGCTCAATGGGTTTACTCGCACAAACATATGAGGTAGTCTACATCCGGGCTGTGCTGAAGGGATATAGTCCCTACGACGACCTGTGGGTACTTGTGGAGGACTCTCGACATCACTAGTCTCTGGCATAATTGCACCTTGTAGGTACCTAAATTCAACAACTGAGTTAGACAGGTGACCCAAAAATGCCCATCCATTTCATGATCGATCCATCAAAATGCTAAATATAATAGCAAATGCTTATGATGACGAAAATTATAAATTTGGCTGAACGTACTACAATACAAAAATGTAAAACTAAAGTAATAGCTAAGCTAGACTAATACAATAATAGAGTGATATGTAGCTCAGCCATACAAAAATGTCTTATTTGGACAGTGGTACCTAAAACCAAGATCTTCGGCAGGAAACTGAAGCTGAAGACTTTTTCCTTCTTCAAATATATGTCTTAGCTTAGCCAACCTTGAGGATCCAAGAGGGTTACTTTTATTCAGAACATAATCAGAGAGCTGTGCACGACCTATAGCAAAAATTCCATCCAAAGCTAGCCTCTGCAATCCGGAAGGTAAGATGGAACCAACCCCATTAATAATAACTTTATGTACTGCAAACAAATGAGGGAAAATCAGTTAAAATTTTCAGTTATTATATAGCAAGGATGGAGCTGAACAGCATGATTTGTAAGAGTCTTTGATTAATTGATGATGAAAAATATAAAAGAAATCGTTGCATGAACTAATTTTGGGTACCTGTGTTTGCAACAGTTGGATTGAGACCAAGTGTAGCAGGAACAGACATGGCAGCTCTATAGTTTTCGAGACTTAACCTTGTATTGAATACAGATATCTGACAAGAAAAGGCAGCAATATATGTCAATGGGTTTGAAATTCTTGAATATAAATATTTATTCAAAAAATGTAACAGAAGATAAAAGCATTACTGGTCTACGTTCCATGTCGTAGGTATTAAGCATTGAAGTTGGGGCAATACCCTTGATCACAGAAGCTATTTTCCATGCAAGATTATGGGCATCCTGAATGCCAGTATTCATTCCTGCAAAATTACATCAATATTTTATGATAAATTGCTTCACTTAATAAAACAGAAATAGCAAGAAATAGTGGGTTCAAATCCTAGATTTGCCATTTTGGGGAGGTCTATTCCCACCACCGCCCCTGGCCTGGAACTGTATATACAAAAAAGAAACTGCGTATTGCTCCTGGGACTGGGGGGAGTCATAGCTAAAAGGCACACTAATACAAGTGCACTTTCAAAATTTTGAAAACTGATATTATAATTTCATATATAAAAAAACAGATATTATAAAGTATCTGAATCATTCTCAAGAAAGCCCATAGTTGACGCTGGAACCCATAGTTGAGATTTTAATATTTTTTAAAGAAAAACATGATAGATAGTCATGTAACATTTCATTCACAATATTTATTTTAGGAATATTTTATAATTTCCTTATTTTGGAAAAGAAATAGTCTTCCTCTCCCCTCCATCCAAACATACTCTTAGGGTCTGTGTGGCTGGAGGAATTAAGAAGGAAGAGAAAGGTCAGTTATTCAATTGTAAATTTAAAGAATTATCCAATGTTAATGAAAATAAACAAAGGATATTCTCATTTTTAAATATCACAAATATGAGAACGTTTGTTTAAAAATGAAAACATTCGCCCACTCCATCTTTCACTTTAAGCTCTTTTGTCCAATGTATAGGAAAATGACAATGCCATGTTCAGAAAAAGAAAGACACAAACATATCACATGTTGCCCTGGAAAAAGAGGAAAATTGAACTCTCCCCGATTTAGCATAGATATTAAGTGATGCCGTGAAAACCATTTTCTGTTCTAGACCAGTAAGCATCTATACTATCTGCAAAAAGATATAAACAACTAACCAAATCCACCAGCAGGAGGAAATCGATGAGCAGCATCTCCGGCAAGTAATATTCGGTTGCCAAAACATGTAAAGCTCTCAGCAACTTCGGCATGCATAATCCATGGCTTTATATCAATTACATTCACATCTCCAAACTCTTGACCAACAAGTTTGCTGATTAACTTCTCACATGCCTACTAAAACCAAACCCCTTTCAGTGTGTAATAATAAATGTATCAGGTTTAATCACATCATCAGACATGACCTATGACCTCTTCAAAACTCCATGTTTTAGCTTTAGCAAGATATTTTGTTCCTTGTATTATTACAAATGTCATAAAAAAATCTGTATAAACCTTCTGTTATGGGTAGATGATACCTTTGGATTGAAATCTTCAATTGTTTGCTGAGGTGGATAAAACGGTATCTGTGACAATATAACTAGCATCATACATTTAATTCACAAAAAACCAATTGCAAGACGAAATGGTGACATTTTTATATTTAAGCATATCATACCTGCAAAACAAATTCTCCTTCCCTGAGATCATGAGCAACAAGGACCCCAATTGCTTCAGTATTAAAGATAAAGAAAAGCATACCCGGATTCTCCTTAAGCAAAAATTTCCCAAGCCGTTTGCTCAGAAAATGGACACTGACAAGTTTTTGCAAGTCTTTCTCACCTCTCATATCTATTCCCACAAGCTTTCTCACAGTACTTCCTGCTCCATCTGTACCAATAAGGAGGTTACAGTGGATATTCTTTTCTACACGCTTCCCATTATTGACAGAAGATGCAGTTACAGTTACGAAGTCATTGCTGGTGTCAATGGATACACACTCATGACCCATCAATATTTTCTTTTCACATGACTGCTTATTTCCTTCTGAGCTTTCAGATGCACATGTTTGGAAGCCTAGATTTTCAAGTTGCTTGAGAAGTAACATGGTTAACTTGTACTGTGAGAAGTGTGCAACAGAGACTGGGCTGACAACATGCGCAAGATCTGGAAACAAGTACAGGATAAATGAATCTTCTGAAGCTTATATTGACCAAAATGATAAAACATCATGTAGTCTAATTGTTGATGTTGCATATTTTGAAGGCTATGTTATATTGTCAAAACTACAGTAAGAGAGAAATCTTCCTACTTATATCTATTAGACATGAAATTGTTTCATGTGGACTACAGAATAGCACCTTGTGGTTGTATGTGGTCTACAGATCCAAGAACTGAACCCGTAAGGGAAGTGCAATATACGAACTTCCTCCATAAGTCTACTGGTGGTTGAGACCTTTGGATTTCTTCAACAAGGCCTTCAATCTTGCGGAATATCTATAATGGCACCAACGGTCAAAATACATCACAATACCTTTTTTGGAATAAAACCATTTATCAAAAAGTGATATTAACCTCCATGGATCGATTGTTGATGAAATGTGCTTGTGGATGTTTAGAAAATGCCTTGTTTCTCTCCAAAACTGTGCAATTAATACCTGCAATAAAACAAAAGGAATATGAACTTCGAAGTTGTTCTTCACAATCCCTATTTCTCTTATCATCAATTTACTCATATCTTTCATTTATATTTGTTGTTCTTCATGATATAGGAGCATTGTCATAAAAACTAGTAACACAAATTAGCAAAGGAAACTCTATAGCTCACTTAAAAACTTTGCATCATCTATCACACTGAAACTCTTAACAAATATATAAACATTGAAGTAGAAATTATTGTCATTGCAAAATTACAAACTGAAAACATAATAAATCTCATTATAATTGATGCATCATTTTGAAACCCATTTCACAAGGAATCTTCATCCAAAATATTATTAATCAATTGACAATTGGAATGCTATAGTTTTAGAACCTACCTAACTTCGTGAGCAGAATCGAAAGAACAAGACCCACAGGCCCTGCACCAACAATCAGAACCGGAAGCACTGCATCATTGTCATTGAAAACTCCCGCCTTTGAGAAACCTCTCCTTTGTTTATGCTGAACTAAGCATGCTTTATTTCGAGCTTTATCTTTGAAGGAGTAATTATACCTTCTCATAAACCTTAAAAACCCCATGACCCAAAAAATGAAAAAGCCAGTCTCAAATGCTCTTCATAAAATAGAAGACCCAAGGATAAAAAATAACCTGGAAATGTAACAGTTAAACATAAATGTCAAAAGATGCACAACCATTACAATGCATCAACCACTTTAAAATCAAGCTATTGATGGCAGTAAAACTAAACATCTCTACTTAGTTTTGTTGTTTTAGGGTTTTAGTTCTTAAAATTTGTTCATTTTTGTGAATGTCATTATATCAAACATGTTATGGGTAGTTACAGAGGCAACATAAAAATAAAACGAGATGCATATATATATACAGTGTACCATCGCATGATACACGATGTTAATCGAAATTGAGTAGAAGAATGTTAAAAGCTGCATCGATCATAGTGATGGATAAATATTAAGACATGTATTGAAGTTGAAGAAAGAGGTTAGAAGAAGTACCGGTAACTAGATGAGGTAGAACTACACGTGAGTCTTCTTCTCTGTTTATTCTCTACTATGTTTTTCTTAGGTACTTCTAACGTAATGTGTGTTTACTTGTCGTTCCAGAAAGACATCAACGACGTGGCGACAAGAAGAGCAAGTGTTACATGGAAACAGATTCACCGACTTATTATTCTTTGATTGCCTAACAATTTATTCAGTTGGAAGCTAAAACCTTATCACTTTAATCCTCTTGGGATCAATTATTGTTTTCTATAAATTCAACTTTTGGGCGATAGAAATGAAACAAGGTATGTTATTGAATTTTTGCATTGTCTATAGATAGGATTCTTTTTTTACAATATTGCATGTTGCTGCTAACATTCAGAAATAAATGTATCCATCAAATCTATTAGGTTGTCCACTTTGTTTTTTTCAATTATAATCTCAACACATGTCACTGATTTATAAATTCTTCATTCTTTCTACAGATGAGTTTAGAAAATCCTTGCACTTTAGGTTGGGGCTAATATTTTCAGAAGAAAGCTATATTGTGATCCTCAATAAGATGAAAAAAGTTGTTTCATGGGAAAAATCAAATCTCTACAACTATAAAAATGTTAAACTTAAAAAAGTTGTTTTCACCATTTAGAATTTAAGTTCTAAAAAGAATAAACTCTTGTAATTGTGTCTGTATATACCTTAATTTATTTTGGTTTAATGTCTTCCTTTAAATAAGTATTGTATCGAAATTTTGGTTAATTTAGTGTCATTATATTCAAGATTATGTTAATATAAAAAAATTTCAATTTGATACTTTAATTATATATAAGGTTTCAATTTGCTCCCTTTACTAAATTTCTGACTCACTTGTCATTTTGTCATGCCACGTATGTATATCTTAATCGTTTTTTTCCCACAAAATTTAACAGAAATGGCCAACTTGACTAACAAAGTAGTTTTTAAGGGACAAAAATGTAACTTTTATTAGATAAGAGATTAAAGTGAAAACTAAAATTAAGTTAAAGAATTTTGACATTATGTATGTGTGCGCGTGTGTGTGCGTGTAGGCGCATGTGGTAATAATTATTGTTAGCTTTTACATTAAAATTAAATGGTTGAGATTAAAAGTTTATTTAAGGAACACGTGTGCCTCTTTTATATAAGAAAGAGACACACGTGCTTCTTAAATGAGCTTTGTAATCTCAACCATTTATTTTTAATTTAAAGACTAATAATTATTCTTATCATTCTCATTATATATATATATATATATATATATATATATATATATATATATATATATATATATATATATATATATATATATATATATATATATATATATATATATATATATATATATATATATATATATATATATATATATTAATAATTATTCTTATCATTCTCATTATATATATATATATATATATATATATATATATATATATATATATATATATATATATATATATATATATATATATATATATATATTATATATATTAATAATTATTCTTATCATTCTCATTATATATATATATATATATATATATATATATATATATATATATATATATATATATATTTATATTTAAGGGTAAAAATTGATTTTTGTTAAAATAATAAGGGTATAAATGGAAGAAAAAATGACAAATTAAAAGCTACAAATTCAAAAGCTACTTTAAATAACTTTTAAAAAATAATCAAAAACTAGTAAAAAAACTACAAGGTAAAAGCTAAATGACAATTATCAAACAAAACTTTTTTATTAATATGAGCTAAAGAACTAAAAACTATTTGTTTTTTAATGTTACCAAATAGACAAACAGACTATTTGTAAAATAAGAATTAAACTTTGAAACGTTTTAATAACAAAATTCTATGAAATAAAGATTAAAGTAGAATATAAATTATTCTTACTAATATACAATAGTTAAGATACTCTTTTTGGTCCCTTAAATATACTATTGGGTTCAAATTGATTCTTTAATTTTTATTTGTCAGATTGATCCATTATCTCTTAAAATATGTTGTGTTAGTCCTTTTTGTCAAATTAACAATGAATTTAGCGACCGATTTTAAGAATTTTTCTGTCGCTAATTAGACAAAAAGGACTAACATGACACGTTTTAAAAGTTAAGGACCAATCTGACACAAAAAATTAAGTGATCAATATGAACTCAAGATTATAGTTAAGGGACCAAAAATAATATTTTGCTTATACAATATAATAAAATAATATGATTGTAATATTATTTAATATATCTCGTTAAACTTACGATGCATTAAAAGGAATCATTAAGAGTTTGTTGATTAAGAAACAAAAGTGTTTAACGAGATGTGTCTTCGTAGACAAATCAACAATCTGCAAAAAGGGAGAGTAGAACAATGGAGTAATTGTTTTATGTTAAAGATGGTGACGAGTAAAGTGAATCAATCTCAATGTGTTTGATATGTTTTTGAAATACTAATTTATGAGCAATTTGAATGACACTTTTATCATCACAATACTTGGGAGTTTGTTTATAAAAAGTGACACTCATATTAAAAAGTAAACAACGCAACCAAACTATTGCACTAGTGGTGGATGTCATAGCACAATGCTCAACTTTTGTAGAAGAGTGAGGTATAATATTTTGTTTCTTATTTTTTCAAGAAATACGATAGTCTCTAAGAAAGATACAAAAACTTGTGGCATACTTACCATATGTGGAGTCACCAACCCCCCCCCCCCCCCCCCCCCCACCCCACCCACCCCCCCCCCCCCCCCCCCCACACACACACACACACACAAATTCAACGTCAGAATAAGCATATAACTCTAATGAGGACAATAACAAAAATAAAAGGATATGAAACTAGGTTCCTAAAAAATAACAATGAATGCGAAGAACAATTTCCCAATGTATTGTAGTGTGAGAGACAATAAATTAAATGACAACATAAGCAATATCATGTTTGGTAATTGTAAGGTACATTAGGCTACCGACCAAAGTGCAATACAAAGTGGGATCAGGTAGAGTAACACCATCAGAGGTGCATATTTCACATTCAATTCAAAATGACTATTTGCTTCTATAATACCCAAAAGTCGAGCATGTTCAAAGATGTTAGCAATATACTTAGATTGAGAAAGAATGTAGCCTTTAAGACAATAGGCAACTTCGATCCCCGAGAAATAGCAAAGAGTACCTAAATCCTTCATCTGAAACTGTTTGGACAATTGTAATTTCAAATCATCAATCCCACTAACATCATCACTTGTAATTATCATATCATCAACGTATAATCAAAGCAAAATAAGACCATGAGAGGTGGGTTTGACAAAAAAGTTAAATCATGAACAGTAGAGCATAAACCAAGAGATATAATAATAGTGGTAAATGTAACTGTCACACCCTTATTTTTGACCGTAAGATTCCACCTATTTTCGCTTTTTTTTTTCTTTTGTCATTTGACCTTAATTTAATATTTATGTTTTATGACTAACCAATTTGTGCAGTAACAACTATTTCAGTTCGAACGGGGAGAGGATTGGGCTTTAAGGGCGGTCTTGATTTTCGTGGCGACATATATATTACAAAGCTACATCTTTTTATGTACCTGGTTCATCATTACCAAATCTTTGATTACACGGGTCTTTTCATTTTTAAGGAGATTAAGACTCATCAAAGCGTTCCATATGAGGTTAAGCGCAAAGTGCATATGCCTATTAACAATTTAATGGAGAGTTCAAAACCTTGTTGCAAGTGCATTAATTCTTGCAAGGATTGCAAGTTGGATTAGTAAATTTGTTAAGGAGGCTTTAACTGAGGTTCACTTATCAGAAGCAATTAACATGGTCAACTGTACAATACCTTTGTTAAAGAGAATAAGTGATGATGAGTCTGCACTAGATGATAGCATTCTCCCTTTAAGAGAAATTTTTGAACTCGTCTAAGTGTTATTGCTGCTTTGACTAAGTATGGCGTTGAGGAATTCCATTCGCAATAGGTTAAGAGTTTAAACCAACGGAACTAATACATGCAAAGCTTGCATTTTCTTTTGAATAGATCATATTAATTGCGAAACTGGCTCTTAAAATCAAATATGTTGACAATTGCGAAGCAAGCCAATTCATCAGTGTTATTGCAATGAGATATTGCATTCGCTGTTCCCAAATTGTACTCAGTGATTCCATTATGCAAGGATTCAAAGAGGTGTGAATACAGAAGATAACTCATTCTTAATGTTTCTGGCTGGGGAGCTAATTACTAATATTTTCATATTAATCCACAAAGTGTTAAAGAATACTATAACGAAAGAGTCGACAAACATTGCCGGTGAATGTTTAAGTCTCATGGTGGTGTTACAGGCCCTAGCTAAAGGCAATGATTGCCAGAGAAGTCTTATGACCTTACTTCTGGAGGCCATTGTCACGATTTTCTTGACAAACAACAGATGTGTTCTCTCTGAAAATAAGGGACTTAAGAAACACAACCATTAAGCTTGTTTCCCGCCTTGATCAAATTCCTTCATCAGCCATGCATTTCAAGGATGTTTTACTATCAATTCCTCCTCTGCACCGCCATGAACTT